AAAGAGGAGTGTGCGGAGGACAATGTTATGTGGTATCATCCTGCGCTTCTTTCTCTCGCTTTTTTTTTTTTGCTGTGGGCAAAAAACACATGCATGACCGTTTGTAATTCCCACCAAAATGCGAATTGAATCCGAAGAACAGCAGGAGAAAATAGAGAAAAAGGGCGGGGAAGGGAGTTTATGTTGGCCTTCTACGCAAGGGCGCGGGGGGCACCCTCAGCTGCGTCTGCGGCCCTGCTGCTTCAGCGCCGTCGCGTAGAGTACTGGGGCTCGTCTGTGACAGGCCGCACACAACCGTTTGCGCAGGGCGACATGCTTCCACGCCTGGACAACACACGCAACGCCATCAATAAATCCTCCAGTGCAGCCGCAAGTATTACAGGGAATCATTTAGGCATTGCATATGATGGCAATAACATTTTTTCAGTGGAGGAATACAGCCGGCTGGAGAAGGAGCACTACCAACCCCTGCGGGGTGTCTCGCGCTACAAGGTGGAGCCCATCAATGAGGGTGATGGCCTGACGACACAACGGCTGATGCTGGAGCTGGAGGAGGACACCGTTGTCGGCCTTGATGCCGCGTGGTGGGGTGCTGTTTTCAAGGACTTCCCATCTTTAAAGAAACCCTGCACGAGTGAGTTTAAGGCAGAGTTTGCAGATTTCTACAAACAGGCCTTGGGAGTGGCCCACGATGAGGCTGCAGTGACGGCTCTTGCGGTGCCTTTTGTGCGTCGCCAGATGCAGACAAAATTTATTAGCTTTCCGATGTTTTGGCGTATTGCGGAGAAGCTGTCAGACGCTCTGGTGACGGCAGCTGCAGGCCGTCGCCACGAAATGCGTGTCTCCCGCATAGCGGTAGAGCGTGTTACAAAAATTGCATTGAACACAATCGCGGATGAGCCATGGGCACACAAGGACACGACAAGTCCTTTGCTCTTCGATGTATCGAATTTCCGCGCGTGGCATGAGGCTGGCAACTGGTAGATTGAGGGAATATTTAAAAGTAGATGCCCTTTATTTTTGGAAATAGGCGTCGTGTTGGTAGCGGGATTAACAAAAGCAAAAAAAAGGGATAGTCATAGCAATAGAAGAAATACTTGGGAGGGGAAGCTGTCGCATTTATGTGGTCATATTCCCTTGGGGGTGGGGGGTTATTGGGTCTTTTGGGTCGAGAAGAGGAGCGATGCGCGCGGGACATGTCCTTTGGTGCAGTTCAAATTACGACAAGTGCGTTTGGAGTTTGAGTGGAGGGGAATGCGGCAGTAGACTGCACTACGGCGCTTCCATGCGCTGGAGTGGGGGATAAGCGAGTTGGGGTGGGTCCAGCTCTGTGTGTGTTTCTGTTTCGCAGCTTTTTTATTTTTCTACCGGCAATGCGAAGGCGAGGAACGCCCTTGCGTGAGTTCTTTTGTAAATCACCACGCACTCACAGCAGAGGGCAGAACGGAGTTTACTTCTTGGGAACGGAGAGGGAAGGTGTTTCTCCTCGTTTGTGCAGAGCCCTGCGTGGATGCAAACGGCAACAATCAACAGGAAAGATACGTGTATGCTTTTTTGCAGGTGTACGTTGCAAATCTTTTCTTTTCAGTGTAAATCCTTCTTTTTATTTCTTTCCCCTGTTGCTGCTGATGGTTGTGATGTGTATGCGCACTTTATTTTTTATTTTTTATTTTGGCCATCACTTCATTTGCACACACTCTCATTCTTTGAGTCTATTCCCTTAGATGGGAGGAGAAGGAGGAAAACGGGGCATATCAATCTGACGATGAATTCACGCGGAAAAGAGCCAATCGGTTTTCGTGGTGGCCGCGGTGCTTCTGGCGTCTCCGTCGCGGCACGTGGCTTTGGACGTAGCGGCGGCAACGGAGGTCGAGACGTTGCGCGCGGGAGAGGCCGTGGCCGTGGCGGCCATTTACTGCGCGCGGGGGCAGACCGCCCCGAGTCATCTGCCTTGATGTCGCAGGAAGATAGTGGCGGCGACGATGACGAGAAGGGAGTCATGCAGGGGGAGAATGTGCACTTGGCGACGGGGAAGCGCTCCACAGCGCTCCACAAACAGCGTCATGTCAAAACAATGTTGACGGAGGAAGGCACGGAGCTCCCAAAGAAGCTCAACAACAGGGTGTTTATTGATGGTCTGCCCTACGAACATAAAGCGACGCCGGGATCCTCCACTCTTGAGGAGGAGCTGATGCAGTTTGTTGCGGCATGGAAGGTTGGCAAGCCCGTTCGTCTCATCAAGCGGGAAGGCCAGGGGTTTGGTTTTTTGGTTTTTCACTCTCCGCACAGCGTTGATGTGGCGGTGCGTGTGCTGAATGGAAGGAAGTTTCTGGGTCGCAAGCTGCGGGTGGAGGTGCCGAAGCCAAAGGACATGACAACAAACGACGTGGACATCAGCCTAGATGCGGGGAAGAGTAGTTTTGCCCGCCAGGTCCTTTTGTCCGACCTGGCGAAGATCACACAGCCAGAAATTGTTCGCGAGATCCTGCGAGATGTGGCGCCCCAGCTGGAGAAGCGGCTTGAATCCATCAAGATGACCTCAAGGAATCGCAAGGCATTTTTGACATTTTTGTCTGCCGATGACGTGGAGCCGGCGGTACGGTTTCTCGATGGCTTCTCCATGTTGGGCCGCCGCATCACTGCCGCACGGGCTGCCGCGCCTGGCTCGCTGCCGTACACAAAATCTCCGGGCCACGTTTTATCGCACAAGAGGAGCGGTGCATCGGCAGATGAGGAAAGCCACGGTGAGGCCATGCACGCGGGAATTCTTCATGGTGATGCGGACGAAGAGGAGTGTGGGCAGCCAGTGCTGCCATTGGGGGTGGTGAATCCACCAGCAGCGCAACAGGAGGCGAGGCGTGCGGGGCGGAATGTGGCCAAAGAGCTGAAGCCAAGCAACATCACTGGCGTAACAGAGAAGTACAACTTGCTAGAGGAGGGGCCAGCGGAGGTGTTTGTCGGCAACCTTGGTGAGGAGATCACCGAGGAGCAGCTCCGCTGTCACTTCAGTGTGTGCGGTAGGATATTGAGTTGTGATCTTCTCGTGAATAAAAGCACAAGTTTGCCCACGGGCATCGCGCGTATTCTCTTTGCTCTGCCCGCGTACGCTAGCTATGCACAGAAGCACCTTCATGGATCTTGTTTGCACGGCCACGTCATTCGTGTCGATCGTGGCGAAGAGCCGAGCGCGCCTCTGGCGTCGGATTTGGCGCCGCACGACGGTGAGGATGTGGTCGATGAGGATGGTTACATGGCGCACTACGGCGTGAAGGACAAGGCTGCCTATTTTAAGGGCACTTCGCTCGAGGAGAGGCGTGACGGTCGCAATAAGAGTAAGCGGGCGAGGGAGACAGCCGTTGACACCAAAAAAAAGAGAAGGAAGACGAAGGATGAAGCATTCAAAACATCAGGCTTCATTTCTGCTGGTGGCAATGATGATGATGATGAGGAGGAGGAGCGGTTTCATGATGCGGATAAAGTAATTGTGCCGGTGACCGCTTCATCTGGGCGAAGGGAGCCGAAGAAACGATTGATTGCGGTGAAGAGGCGGGCAAAACGGGCGAAGAAAGCGTTTGAGTGAACACCACATCTTTTGCCGAGTGATGATTGCGTTGATTTTAGACCTGAATTAAAAACTAATAATAAGAAAAAGGTGAAACGTGTAAAATAAGGACCTAAACACGAAGGGGCAACAAATTGCGCATACATACCATACGTGCATGCATGCATGCAAGTGTGTGTATATGTGTCTATCCCTACCCAAATGCATGGAGCAATGTATGTGTACATCCACAGTGTGGTGCTCATGGATGAAATGCAAATGTTGCCCTTTTTTTTCTCTTTCCTTTTTTTAAAACCTTGCTACAGGACAGGGAGGGAGGTGCGTTTTGTGGTAAATACATTGGGTGAATGAATGCCGCCTGTGACAGGCCGTCCCATAGGCAAGACCCCGAGTCCACACCCCATCATTCGCCGTACCCGAAGCTGGCGTGGTATCATGCAGGTACGCTTCAACGACACGCGTGCAGATCGCAATAAAATATTGAAACATGCGCTTTTTTGGGCACCGATGAGAATATTTGGTATTGGGTTTCTCACGACGACTGCGATGTACTTCACCATAGGCCATGATCGCTTCATGCACACGCTGTTTGGCTATGAGTCGGAGATGCACTATGAGGCTCGTGTAAATCCCGACGCAAGCGTCCTCATTGGTGATACATTACTGGACAAAGATCGCGGCTGGAAGTCCCCGCTGCGTGAATTGGAGATGCCACTGCATCCTAAGCGTCAGTTTGACGTGATGCGGGACCCCAATTCCACTTGACCCTTCTCCGTTTATTGAGAGCGGCCTGCTGTTGGTAGAGTGTGTGGGGAAACTGGGCTGGTTGGATAGCGCAATGGTGGCGGTACCGATGAGTTTTCTATTTGTTTCTATGTGTGGGTGTGTTTTACTTTTATTTTGGCGTGCTGCCGCCCACGTTATTTCAGATTCTTTTTATTATTATTTTTTTTTGCTCTCCTACATATGGAAAACGAAGAACACCTATTTTTTTTTTTTTTTTTGCATAGTAGGAGAATTGTTCATAGAGAAGGAAAAAGGCGGCTCGCACCATTGCGGGGTATCGTGCAAAAGGAAATAACTGCAACGTGTTCTTTTATTGCCATGACTGGACTCACGGAGAATGAAATCCGCGAGTCACCGCTGTGGCAGCACATGAAGAAGGTGCTTCTTCAGGTTGTTCAGCAGCAGCCGAGCAGTGCACTGGATGCCATTATCCCCTCCTCCTTCGTTGTGCAGACAGGCAGCGCGGTGCCGCCACACGCCACAACCATCTACGCAGACCACCGTCCGAGGGTCACCAACGCCGTTCCGTCGGACGCACTGGAGAACTTGCGTTGGGCGTCAAGCTTTGGCAACGTGCTTGCTCCACCGAAACCAAGGCGCAAGCCAACGGAGGAGGATGAGGAGATGCCACAGGAGGAAGCAGAGGAGAACGAGGAGGAGGTGCTGCTTGGTGAGGTCAGCAACGTGGTGGGGGAACAGGCCATCTTTAACTCCGTGGGAGAAGGGCTGCAGCCGGAGGAGGCCTTCCGCCTTGTGGTTGGAATGAAGCAACTTGTCAAGACGGAGCCGCTCGCGACTGCTCGCTTCTGGGGCAAAATCCTTGGCAGTGGTGCCGACTACTACATTGTGGAGACGAAGATCGATCCAGAGCGCCTGCCGGAGGATGAGGAGGACGTTGGCATGGCAGATGACGAGGAGGAGGAGGGGACACCCATCGACAACGTTGCGGATGTTCTCTACTCGTATGGCGCAAAAAAGCAGGCAGACACGGAGGTGGAGCCGGCCGGTAGCGGCCTGAACGAGTGGGTGTACTACGCCGCACAGACGGCGGACCCAACCAGCTGGACGCGGTTGCCCGATGTGACGCCAAACCAAGTGATTGTTGCACGTCACATTCGTCGCGGTTTTACGGGGGATCTTGAAAGCTCTGTCGACACCCACCCGCACTTCCCCGGCAAAGAAATGAACTATCTTCGGGCCCAAATTGCGCGCATAAGCTGTGCGTGTCGGGTGGCACCGCGTGACATGTACACAAGCGAGGGGGCTGTTCCAGAGGAGGAGGATGAAGAGGGAAACGTGTTGCCGCCTCCCGAATCCGTGAAGGCCTACACGACACTGCCGCCACTCACCCCACAGGAGGTGCCGGACGAGGAGGACACCGAGGCAATCGAGCCGATCAAGTCATGGTTCTACGGCTATCGCGACGATGAGTTGCTGCAGGGCAAGTATTGGGTGCACATTGCTCCGACCCTGCTGCAAACCGGCCGAACTGTTGCGAGGGAGCAAGAAGAGGAGGATACGGGGTTTGACCACTCCGAGAAGATACATCCATTTTTGTGTGAAGTCAGCCGTGACGATCCCCTGACATATGCATCTCACAGCCGTAGTCAACTACCCGCCTGGAGCTTCCGCAAGGCATTTCACAATGAGAGTAGCAAAACACGCACCTACGTTGCCAGGTCGGCAACCTGGCCCGGTGCTTTCACGTATGCCGTGGTGGAATTGGGCCAGCCAGGCAGTCAGTATCAGAGCGTCTATATCGGCACGGGTCTCAAGAGCCTGCAGGGCATGAACTACGCGCCAAAGCTACCCCCACGATGCCTTGTTGAGTATCCCGAGACTGAATTGGTGCTACAGCGCGATGCAACGGCGGACGATGAATTGGAGTACGCACCACCACCTCCCAAGGTGGACGCTGCCGACGAAGAAGATGAGGAGGCTTAGAGAAACAAGAAATGGGAAGAAAAGGGTGAAACAGGGACAAATGGATTTTTTTTTTGTTTGCCGACTGTGGATGTTGTACTTTACTTGTAATGTTTATAGTTCATGGTGAGAGGAGACCTTTTTTTTTCAATTTTTTATTTTTATTTTTTATTCATGATTTTCCCCACGCTGTGCGGTAGGGTGAAGGGGGAACTGGTACTAAACAAGAGAAGACAGAAGGGCGGAGGAAATGCAGCACATTGGAGAGTAATATGTATGTACCTTTTTTTTTTTTTTTTTCTGTCTCTCTGTGTGTGTGGATGTTTCTCTGCTTGGATTTCTTAATCCTACTTGTCTTTGGGGAGAGGCTGACCGCCGCTATTCGTGTGTATGCGTGTGCATTTGGAGCCGCGTTGACGTGGCGCATCATTTTTATTTTTTACTTTTTAATTCTTTCAGTAGGAAGGGGGCGGTTGCGTGCGTGCGTGCGATTGTTTTTATATTAATTGGTTTATTGTGTGGCAGATTTTTGGAACCAAGGGAAAAAGACACCAAGAAAGAACCCTAGAAGGGCACACAGAGTGCGTGGGAAGCCACGGGGAGATTTAAAGAGCTTAGAATACGGTATGAGGATAACAGGAGGAATAATATAAATATAAATTAGTCATGCATCCAAAGTGCAACCTCCCTTTGAGCCGTTCCCTTCCCCTTGTCTGCATCTGCTCACTATTCAGTTTTCTTTCAGGCGTCGGCATTGGCGCGAACGATTTAAGTGCGAATTTTGCCATGGTGGTAGGGAGCGGCTCCCTTAATATGCGTCAGGCAGTTTTCTACTGCACGGTATTTGAGTTACTTGGCGCCGCCTTCATGGGTGGGCATGTCAGTGGGACGATTCGAAAAGGGATTGTTGATCCTGCGTTGTTCACTCTGGATCGAGACATGGTGCTCATTGGCATGACATGTGCAAGTTTTGCGGCAGCTGTATGGCTTTATCTTTCCACTGTACTTGGGCTGCCCGTGTCGATCACCCACACGGTGGTGGGATCCATCCTTGGATTTGCCGTCTTCTCTAGTGGCTCTTTCCAATACGTGCAGCCACGCGGCATTGTAAAAATTTTGGTTTCATGGCTGCTTGCCCCTCCGGTTGCTGGGGCTGTGACGGCGGGTATATTCTATCTTCTCCGCAAGTACATATTGACGGTTAAGGGACGTTCCTTTCAGAACGCCTTGTGGTCGCTGCCGTACTGTCTGATATTTTCCCTTCTCATTGACCTTATGTTTGTTGTGATTGAGCAGCCACCCGTTATCACTGTGACGATTGCAAAATTTCTGCCCGTCGATGTGCAATATCTTTTTTTCCTCTTGGCAATCCTTTTTGCCTGCTGGATTGCTTCCTCCGCGGTCTTTCCACGTCTAGCGGAGGAGTCATGGAAATTGAAATCATTTGTCTGGGAGTCGGAGGTGCTGCGCACGGAGGAGGAGGATGCCGAGTCAAGAGCCGCGGCACGCTGCACGGAGACCGAGGGCGGCGATGGGCGGATGCAACACTTTTTTTTTGCTTCTACCGATCATGGGACGGCGGTTTCCGAGATCCATACGGAGAATACTGGGAGTGTGCCCCTGCCACGGAAGGTCGCGGCACTTATGCACGATTCCGGTAGCTTTTTCCTGTCGACATTGGGCTCGGTTAGGGTGCAGTTGCTTCCCCAACATAGCGTCCGGGCTGCACCCGTGACGCGCAACTCGATTCATTCAGCGTCTTTTCCAAAGAAGGGTGAGGCACAGTCCATGGCGTCGGCGTCCACTGTCTCCTACGGCGCGGTGGCGAATGTGGAAGATGAACCGAAGGCATCCGTTGACGTGGGTTTGAACGATGAGTTTATGGAGGAGGACTGGGGGTTGGACCGCCCGATGCAGCCGATAAACTTCCGTGGAATTAGTATTAAACCATTTAATCCACGAGCGGAGTACCTGTTCACCGCGCTGCAAGTTGTCGCGGGCAGCATGTCTAGTTTTGTGCACGGGGCTGTGGCTGGGGCGAATGCAACCGCCGCCTTTGTCATTTTTTACGATACCTTTGCGGTGTCGGAGCTTGGAGAGGAACCGCTTGGCAGCAGCTGGGCTGTGTTGCCAGCGATGCTGGGCATCGCCATCGGCATGTTCACGCTGGGGGCACGTTTGATGAAGACTGTCGGAGTGGAGCTGGTGACTGTGACCCCGGCACGTGGGTGGTGTATTCAGGCTGGCAGTACCCTCGTCACGATGATTCTCACGGGCATCGGAATTCCCGTCTCGCTGTCGCAGGCGCAGGTGGGTGCGGCCATTGGGTGCGGCCTGCTGGACGCACGGACGAGGGGTGTAGAGTGGGGCATCGTATTGAAGATTGCCTGCGGGTGGGTGGTGACGCTCGCGATAAGCGCTGCCACAACAGGCGTCTCCATGTGGCTGTTGGCCTCCTTTTACTGCGCCTAACTGTGTGCGTGCGTGTGTGCGTGCGGGGCGGAAGAATGTGTTGCACTTATCAACGAATGCTGTGTGCTCTGTGCGCCGATTGACTTGTGTGCTGGCGGGAGGGCCGGCGGCCCCCACTTCGTTTCCCCGCCTCTGCGTCATCCCTCTCCATCTTCCTGTGCTCCCCTCTCAGCCTTCGGGCGTTGCTGTGAGGGATCATCAATTCAAGTTTCAAGGAGAACCAAAAGAAGCAAAGGACACCGTGGACGGCGAAGTAAAAGACCCGCAAGTTTTCTGAGTGTCTGCTCCCCAACACAATACGCGATTGTTATAATTACCATTTTTGTTTTTGCCGCGCCGCAGCTAACAACGCCATCAAATGATGTTGTTGGGCGTGACTGCCCCACGGCTGGCGGGTGCTATTCGTCGCACTGCAGGCGATGCGGCTGCCGCCGGGGGGCCGCGCACCCAGCTGCCGTTTCTTCGCAAGGTGGTGCGGGATGCGCTTCGCTCCCCCAACACCCATCAGAGCACGACGCCGTTCAGGCCTTATCCTCCGCTCGGCGCCGGGGAGGAGAAACAACGGAGGAGCGGAGTGATTTACAAGGACACGCAGTGCATCGTCGTGAACGACGCGTTCCCCAAGTCACGGCTGCACTGTCTGGTTCTGCCGTTGGACCTTTCTTTACACTCCCTCAGTGCCTTGCGCATTCAACATGTCCCACTACTGCGCCATCTCATGGACGTCGCGGATCGCTACGTGCAGTTTCTTCGGAAAGACGCCTCGGGGGGCGATTGTGCGTCGCTGTCGTTTGCCACCGGCTTCCACTCGCTCCCGTCACTGCCCCATCTGCACATGCACCTCATTTCCCTGGACTTTGATAGCCCGTACCTGAAGAAGAAGAAACACTACAACAGCTTTGCCACTCCTTTCTTTCTTCCCGCCGACAGCGTTGTGGAGGACTTGGAGCGAAACAAGTGCATTACGTTGAACCAAGACGTGGTGGGGCTGAAGCGCATGGAAGAACAGGAACTGAGTTGTCTTTGGTGCGGCCGTGGCGAGGCGGGGATGCCGCAGCTGAAGGCGCATCTTCGCACGTGTCCCAACAGCCGCGCCTTTTTGAATTCAACCGACGCAAAATGACCGTTTGGCGGGTGCAGGAATAGTCGGAACGTTTGTTTTGGTACCGCATCGGAGAGGTACCGAAAAATTGCGCATGGTTTGCCGTCAATGGGGTGATTTGGAGGGTGTACGACCGTCGCTGTTGATGTGTGTTGACACCAAAATAATTATGGTTGCTTCTGTGGCGGGCGCTGTGCCGTCTTTCATTGGAATTTTTTTTTTTTCTTCTTTTCTCTTTTTCTTTTTACACGGCCGCAGGTTTTAGGAGGGGAAAGGAAAGGAAAGGGGTGGACGGGCCGTGTGTGTGTGTGTGCCTGGGCCTTTTTCCCCCACACCCGCCTCGCCAGTCTCTCTGCCGCTCTGACCGTGCGGGTCGTTGCACTGGGCGCATGCAGCCTCAGAGCTCGGTGTTTCGTCATCGCGCTCGGCTCCATGAGGAGGCGGAGAACAGCCGCGCGAATGCGGGTGTGATCAGCGAGGCAACGGAGGAGGAGAACAACGAGATCATGCGCGCCCTTTTGGGCGATGTGCGCTCCGTGCGGCACAAATTCACCGCGATGGGCGAGGAGGTGCGGCGACAGAACACACTACTTGACAGCCTTGAAGCGGTTTTTGCCCGCACACGCGTGCGTCTGGGACGGACGCTGCGTCAGTTGGATGTGGCGGGGGTGACGAGTGTCACGCACATGTGGGTGTTGTTTGTGTTTGTCATTGTAGTCTTTATGCTGATATACTTCATGCTGAAGTTTGGCTGATGATGTCGTACATGCGTTTTGGAGCTGACGCGCATGCATTCTCTCTCTCTCTCTCTGTGTGTGTGTGTGTGGGAGGGGGCACTTGACGGGGGCGATGCGTCCTCCACACGAACACGTGTTTGACTGCTTCTTCTCTTCACTCTCTTTTTGTCTGACCGAACGACAATAGAGTGAGAGAGAAAAAAAAAAAAAAGGGAAAATAATAAAAAAAACACAAAAAACAAAAAGGTAGTGTTTTCTACTTCCGTTTTTATATAAATCAGCGAACTATTTATTTATTTATTTGTATTTTTTTTTTTTTTTTTTTCGAAGAGCAGCAACAACAACAAAAATATTAAATTAATATTTCAACAACTTTCAACCAACGAGAAGGAGAAAAAAAATAAAATAAAAAAAAAAAGAAAGAAAAAAAGATCACAATTTTTTTATTTTATTTTAAAAATCCAACTAAACCCACTACTGTCATATAAAAAATACCAACAAATACCCCTCCCCCCCCCAGACTGGAGTAAAGAAGGAAATAAAACTTCTGTTATCTTTTTTTGGGGCATACCGTCACTGGAGAGAAAGTGAGAGGAGGGGAAATTAAATTAACCACAAATTTAAACCTCAACGAAGAAAAAAAGAAAAGGAAAAACAAAAAAAGGAACCAACAATCAACATTGAAGGATAGAGAGGGAGAGGGAGAAAAAAAAAAAAAAACAAAAGTAGAAAAGTGAGAGGGGGAAGGAACAAAAGAGTGGGAGGAGAATAGCAGTGGGAAATAAAGAAGTCAAGAAAATAAAGGCTTTTGGTTTTTTTTAAAATTGTATATATACATATATATATATACATACCGTTTTTTTTTTTTTTTTTTTTGCCTCTCTCTCTCTGTGTGTGTGTGTGTGTCTGCATTGATTGAGGCCACTGAATTCACGATGGCTTCCTTGTGGTTTATTCAGTTCAGGGCCTTCCTCTGGAAGGTTGTCCTGCAGCGTTGGAGGGCACCGGTGTCGACTCTTGCCGAGCTGCTGCTGCCTTGCGTTTTTACGCTTCTTCTGGCGTTGGGCTACTGGTTTTCCACGACAACGAAGGTGCCTGTCACAGATTATTCTGGAACACAACCGATGGATATGTCGTCGTTGCTTCCGGCCTTTTTCTGTCAAAACATGTCAAGCCCACGTCCGTTTGGCCGCAGGTTACACATAGGTCCATGCGGACCGGCAGGGCCAAGTACCATGTGCTTCCCTTTTGTGCGGGATGGGGCTCTCTGCGTGCGCGACCGTGGGCTGTTTTCTAAGGTTATGTTTGGTGTGTACTATGCCTCAGGCCCTATTAATGTCCCTACCCTGGATGCCTATCTTGCACTGTCTGCATTCGTGTCGCACGAATCACGGAGGACGGGTTCCACGTTTTTCAGCCGCTCGGCACAGGCGAGTTTGTCACATTATGGAGACCTTCTGGTGGCTGGGAAAGACGGGGACACATCCTTTGCCTCGGGGTTTGTCAAATATTGCAGCGATGTCAGCGCTCTTTGTGCCGAGGTGGTGCATAAGGATCGTGTTTTCCCAACGGTAGCCGAAGCGGAGAAGTTTGCCCTGAAGCATGACGACAGGGTCTGGGCCATTGTGGAGTTGCCTACTCCCCTTCCAGGATCGCCAGCAGCGGCAGGGGTGGAAGGAACCATATTCTCCATTAGCATGAACTATACCGCCACCCCATGGACGTTTGAATCAAAAATGCAGTTTTTCAAGGGGTTGGGCGATAACGACTATATGTTGTACGTGGCAAGCGGATTTATGACGCTGCAGAATGTTGTACAGCAATTCTACGCACGTTATCGACTTGACAAGGCGCCCCCGCCACCACCATCTGGAGCCAATGCCACAGGCATTTTTGAATTTGTTAACCTTCAAGGACCTCCGTTGATACCCATGCCAGCTCCGCCATATATCGACAACGGCTTTTACTCTCGCTGGGCATACTTCATGCCGCTTGTGGCGATGCTTGCTGCTCTCTTCCCAGTGACGAAGCTTGTGAGTTGGATCGTTGAGGAGAAGTCACTCAGAATTCGAGAAGCTATGCAGATTATGGGACTTCGCTGGTCATGTATGGCACTTGGGTGGTTTATCTCTGCATTCTTGATGGATTTTGCTGCCTCGCTTCTCGCCGCCATGGTTTTCCGGCTCAGTTTTTTTAGTTACGTGAACTTTGGCGTGCTATTCTTTCTCTATTTCAGTTTTATGCAGCAGAACACCGCCCTGAGCTTGTTTTTGAGCTCTTTATTCACCAATCCTCGGATTGCGGGGGCAGTTGGGGCTTTATGCATTTTCCTTTGCAGTATGCCGTACTACTCATTTCCTGATGGTATGAGCATGCTGCGGCTCGTGACGATGAGTCTCGTTCCATGTGTCGCCTACGCCAAAGCCTTTGATGAGCTTGCCAAGTATGCCTCCTTTGGCTACAAATTCACGTGGAAGAATACACGGGTTGGTGACTACAACGTTGCTATGGCGATTGGACTGATGTGGGCATCCTCAGGCATTATGTGGATTTTTTGGATTTATTTGGATCAAGTGTTGCCGTCTTCGATTGGTCGTCGCAGACATCCCTTGTTTTTCCTTTCGTGGGTTCGCAAGTTGTTTCGCTGCTGCTGCTGCTGTGACCGCGAAGGTTCTGAATTTGGCGAAAAAGACTTACAAAACACGAGGAAATTCTCTAATGGACTTGCGTCTGCTTCTGTAGGGACACTTCCGCCGCGTGACGGGAAGCCCGTCGACGAGGAGGTAAATTCCCATGCGGTGGTATTTCGTAAACTTTACAAGGTGTATGAAACCGGGGGCATTATTGGATGGCTGCACCTTTTTCTTACGGGGCTGCGCCGTGATGGGGATCGCCGTGAGGCAGTACGCGATGTTTCTTTTAATATGGATTTTGGGAAGATAAATGCACTGCTCGGCCCCAACGGTTCCGGCAAAACAACTCTAATGGGTATTGCCACTGGCATGGTGACACCCACGAGTGGTGACGTTTACATATGCGGCCACAATGCAGCATATAAACTGCACAAGTGCCGAGAGCATATTGGGTACTGCCCACAGTCGGATATTGTGTGGAATCGACTGACAGTGGAGGAGCATCTCACTTTCTATGCCCGCATGAAAGTTAATGGGGGATGGGACGTACGGGAACAAGTGGACGCTATCGTCGCTAGCATGCAATTGGAGGAAAAGCGTCATTGCATTGCAAAAAGTCTATCTTCTGGTCAGAGGAGGCGCTTGTGCGTTGGCATAGCCCTAATTGGGAAACCTGATCTCCTTTTCCTGGACGAACCAACAGCCGGGATGGACATGCGAGGCAGAAAGGCGGTGTATGACGCGCTCCAGAAGGACCGTGACACCCGTGCGGTCATGGTTTCAACCCACCTGCTGGATGAGGCAGATCGTATTGGGGACAAGATCCTCCTCATGCATGAGGGCGCCCTGTGTGGTGCGGGGTCATCCTTGTTTTTGAAATCTAAGATGGACGTTGGGTACGTTGTGACATGCGTGGTGGAGAGCTGTTCCTCTGAGATGGAGGAGAATATTTGCATCAGCCGTCTCACGGAATTTGTACGTGAAAAGTCATACCCCGGGCATTCCCGTAACATGTCTACGGAGCTGCATTCCATTTCTACACAATGCAAGCTGCTGGGTATCGAGCGCCGTGGCCGCGAGATATCATTTCGTTTTCCACTATCTTTGCTTTCGGCTTCAGGAAGCGCCATCATCCGTGCCCTGGAGGAGCAGCGGGAGGCACTTTGCCTGCGCAGCATTGGCTTGAGTCTGACGACACTGCAGGATGTTATGGAGTACCTGACAAAAAGGCAATCATCAACGATGGCTACGGCGCCCTCAAATGAGCCACTAACTGATAAAGCGACGGAGCATGGAATTTCCATCCAGATAGAGGGTATGGGCTCGAACCAGGCGTCTTGTTTCGGTACGGCCGTTGGATGCGAGATGAATAGAGACGACAGCAGCATGTCGCTTCTGAATGAGACCTGCAATTCGCATGATGAGAGTGAGTACTACAATCCGCATAGGCAGTCATTGGTCAGACACTTTGCCGTACTTTTTATGAAGCGTGTACACTGCGCCAAGAGAGACCTTCGTCTTGTCGTGTTTCAGATTCTCTTACCTGTGGTCTTTCTCAGTCTTGCCCTTTTGACAGACCTTATGAGTCCACCGAAGCAGCCAGCACTCACCCTTGACGCGTCACTGTATCCAGGTTACGACACCCAGCCGTATTCAGAAGTCATGTGGACAGTCTCATCTAAATTTCCAGACGTATTTGATGTGGAGAGTAGTAGTATGTCTACTGCTTTTGGACCGTATTACACGCCTATCAGGGCCAAATGCGATGTGGAAAATTGCAGTCAGCCACTCTCTGCTGAGCTGATCCCTGATATAAGGACACACACAGCTACCCGTTATATCGCACTCGCCCTTACAAGCGCACAGGGAAAAAAAGGCACACCGACTTCTATTCTTATGCACAACGTCTCCGCCCGTCACTCAGCGCCTCAGTCCCTTAATGCACTTTATAATGTCGTCAATCACCAGTTGTTCGGTCAAGGCTCAATGACAACTGCGCGGAATGTGCCTATGCACGTGGGACCATTTGAACAGAAAATGGTAAGTGCATTCCGGCGTGTTATCTTTGGGATTTTTATCCTTTTGCCCTTCACATTTATCCCAAGTAACACCGTCAGTTTTATGGTAAGGGAGCGTCAAAGCGGTTCTCGACACCTTCAGTGGCTTGCGGGTGCAAATGTTGTTGCATTCTGGCTGAGTTCCATGCTATTTGACTTCTGCTGCTACCTTGTGACCGAGGCGCTTGCGATGATCATCTTTGTCATATTCAAGCGAACGGAATTTATTGGTGATCCTAAAACAGTGGTGGCATCCTTGACACTCTTTACGGTGTTTGGAATCAGTTCCGTTCCATTCAGCTACGTTGTCAGTTTTTTTTTCAGTTCCCCTTTTGTCGCCCAGGGCGTTGTTCTTATCGCAAACTTTGTTCTTGGATTCTTGTGGGTCATGGGAGAGCAGATTCTTGGCGGGATCAAAGAGTTGGAAACTTTTGTGACGCGCACGACACACGTCCTGCGTGTCATCCCGTCCGTTTCTTTTGGTGAAGGCATATTCACCTTGTCAGGTGTGGAGCTGGCGAATATGATGTTTCCTGAACGAAAGCGACCAAATCTCTTTGACAAACTTGAGTTTGTCGAAGGCAAGTTCAGGGGCGGCATTGGAACGGCTCTCATTTACATGTCATGCACCCTTGTCGCCTCACTCTTGTTACTGGCCCTGCTTGAGTACGCACGCATACAGCGTGTCAAGTGGTTTTTTACCCGGATGTCATGCTGTAGGAGGAAGAACAAGAAGTCGTCGAATCAAGACGCTGACGCGCCACCGTCTGCGTCTTGCATTTGCCATCAACGTGAGGCGAATATGAATATTGATGCTTCCGTCGCGCGGGAGGAGGAGGAGGTTTGCCGCAACGAGACAGGCCGCATTGAGGATTGTATCACACTTCAGCACATCACAAAGAAATATGGCGGTACCCACCGGCCTGCTCTTGACGACCTCTCGCTCGGTGTCCACAAGGGCGAAATTATGGCCTTGCTGGGTCTCAACGGCGCCGGCAAGACTACGGCGGTCGGTATTTTGGCTGGTGAGGTGGTCCCGACGTCGGGTTCAGCGTACATTAATCATCTTTCTGTTCTCCGCTCCGCCTCGCGCAGCTACGTCGGTTACTGTCCACAGAAGGACGCTCTTATTGACCACTTGTCGCCGGGCGAACACCTGAGGCTCTACGCAGGTCTGCGTGGTGCCACTGACAAATATATCCGTAAGGAGATTCCCAAACTACTCGATGCGCTGGGCCTCACGTCACAGAAGAACACCCCGGCGTACTCGTTGAGCGTTGGAAACAAGAGACGTCTCTCACTTGCCGTGGCCCTGGTTGGTGGCACCACGAGTGTGCTGCTCGACGAGCCTACTGCTGGCATGGACGCCACCGCCCGCCGGCAAACGTGTGCTGTGGTCAGACGACTAACGCGGGCAAAATCTGTTATTCTCACAACGCACCTGCTCGATGAAACGGAGGCTCTTGCAGACCGTGTTGCCTTTATCTCAAAAGGGAAGCTGCGATGTGTTGGAACGCCACAGGAGTTGAGAACACATTACACGAACGACTCCGTTTACACCGTGCGCGTGGTGTTCGCTGATGGTTGTGGGGCCATTGATGCTACCTGCGACGTCATGAAACGCCTACGTGAGTTATTTCGGACCTCCTCGTCGACGGAGGGGGAAGAATGCGTCTTGGAGGGCGTCGTCGGTCGCACTGTGACCCTGTTGGTGCAGCAGAGCCTTTCGCAAATTTGCAGCGTTGCAAGTAACATCCGTGAAGGAGGATTGGAGGGGCTTCCACCGGTGGTTCAAGTGAGCGCGTCGCAGGCGACGCTGGAGGACATTCTGCTGAGCATCTGAATTTTTCCCACAGCGAAGTAGGAAAGGTAAATACCCACACACGTCCGCATGCTGTAAGTCTCTTTGTTTTTGTGTCGGGGGGAGCCGCGCCGGGGGTTGACTGAAATAATTAAGGGTAACGGAAGGAAGAAACGTGCTGCGCCACCGGAGGGGGGAGAGTGGCTGGTACCTCCACTGAAAAAGAAAAAAAAGTAAACAAAAAAAAGAGTAAAAGAAGGATCCATCGAGAAATGGGGGTGGGAGGTGCAAATTTTTAATTTTTAATTTTTAATTTTTATTTTTTATTTTTTTTAAGTGTCATTTTGGCTTCGAAAGAAAGGAGAAAAAATGGGTTTGGTGGTGTGTGTGTGTGTGTGGGGCAACGGAAGCAAATAAAATCGGTGACGAAATAAGCCGCTAAAAACGACGGCGAGTAGTGGAGGAAGTGCATCGATGGAAAAAATGCGTGTATTGGTGATATTGTCACTGGGGAGTTTTTTTTATTGGGAAGGGAAAGGGGGGTGTGAATGAAAAGTAACAGATGTGGGCGTCCCGTACGACGTCTCCCGCGTGTGCGCCTTGGGGTTTTTGGCCTTTTGAACTGCGTGCCTGCTGCAAGGGGCGCATTGTTACCGTATTTTCTTTGTTTTTTATATATATTTGTTTGCCCGAACATATTTGAGGGCTCGCATGACGGTATGACGTGTCACTAGGCTTCATGGCGTTAGAACTGTTTCTCCCGACAAGATGGGGCAATTGGCCCTGGCGTAGCACGCTGAGACGGCCGGGGGGATTGTCAGGGGATCTTTTTTTTTGTGTGCGTCACATTCATTCTACCAGTCGAAGGCACGCATCGACCGCGGGAATAAAGGAACGGAGGAAGAACAGGAGAATTTCTTTCTGTTGGGTGCGGAGGGATGCGTGTTTGTGTTTCTGCGTGTGTACTGTTGGAACCACTCTTTTTTTGTTTTTTTTTCTCTTCTGCCTTTTCTTCTTTCAGTAGCAGCAGTGCGAGCACGACTGAGTGTTTCTGTTGCGGCGAGGACACAACGACACCCCCATCTGAATTGGCGCTTTGCCCCGTTCGTCTGTGGTGACGGGGGTCCTTTTTACCCGTTTTGGCCACCGGCGACTTTCAATTCGTGGACGAGCGGCACTCGATTTTGTTTCCTGTTTTTTATTTATTTGGTTCTTTTTTTCTCTGCGTGTGTTTGATTGAATTTATTCGTGGGCGTGGGCGGGATGACAAGAAGGTGGGATGCTTCTCCGGGCCCCGCTGTGCGCGTCACGGGCGACTCGACCCGAATGATTTCGTCGGATCTCTTATGCCCCTCGGAAGAGTCGGCCCAGCGACAACGCCGGTATGTTGCCCCGGGGCACGCCATCCCCGATGGTGCGGGACAAGTGGGCAGCCAAAACCAGCAACCGCATTTTTGTCAGAGTTGCCCTCGACCCGTAACGCAAAACTTGGCTCCGCCCGCCCCACACGTGGCGCCCAGCACTGGGCGACATCAAGATCCACCGCATGATCATCGCTCCCATTCTCGTGGAAATCATGGCGTGGAGGAGAACAGGAGGCATATATGCATTCGCATGTTTCTTCCGCCATCATTTCCGGATACAAACGCGCGCGGAGAAAAAAAGAACCGTGAGCTGCGTTCTTGGCGTGACTTACCGGCAAACCCTCTCAATGGACTTCCCGGGTTGGCAACCCAGGTGGTACCCGTAGATCGTGAGGAATGCAATTTTTACTGCGATGCCTGCCAGAAAGGGTTTTTTTCCCAAGAGCGATACGACGGGCATATGATGGACCATGTCTGGTGTACCATGCCAGGCTGCCGCTTTACCTGTCTAAAGGGCAAGGAGTGGAAGATGGAGATGCATATGGAGACGCTTCACAATCGTCCGGATGCACCCAATCTTGCGGACGTTGGAGCGTATCTGTCACAACGAAGGCAGCGTTTTCCCACACAAGATGCGGTGAAATCGAAGGTAGAGGAACTATTTTACAAGGCATCCAGGGGAGTTATCATTCCGGACGAACGTCGGCGGTGGCTGCGCCAGCATGGCGTCTTGGTGAAGAAAAATCCCCGAACAGAGGAGACATATATTGATTCGGATGCACTACGACGGCCCGCAAATGCCGCAACAAATAAAGCAGTTGAAGGACACCAGGGACAAAAAGAGCAACAACAACAACAACAACAGCAGCAGCAGCAGAACGACGAGGAAAGTGGAGAGAAGGAGGAGAACACGGAGATGAATGTTCCACCGGTTTCCATTAAAAACCCACATGAAGAGGGGATTACTGTAAATGAAAATCCCGCGATGGCAGCGCCAAACCCTTCAGCCCACGGCCGTCCAAAGCGGATTATTCCTCTTGGCCCAAACGGTACCCTGACACGAGGCCAGAAGGTGCAGCTTATCCGTGACAGATATCGTGATGCAAAGACCGTTCCTCGCTTCTACGTGTGTCACCGCTGTGGGGAGAAGGGCAACCATTGGGTTGACGAATGCCCCAAGAGGGACGACGAGAACTTTGGACGGCAAACCGTTTGGGGTGAGGAGCGTCTTGAGCCGGCACGGCAGAAACACCGCACGGAGGGCGAAAAGGAAGAAGAGAAAGCAAAAACAAAAAACATAAATGAGAATGAGGGACAAATGGAGGACATCCCTTCACCCCCAGGAGGTGGTGGGGGGAACACAAAAGGCAGCACGACAGCTTTTTGCGAGGGAAAGGACCTGGCGGAGGATGACGGGGCCTTGGAGCTTGTGGAGGATGACGCTGACCCGCCGGCCGAATCGTCTGCGAGGAGGGACGACGCCACGGGAGACTCAACAAACCCGACGACGGAGGTCAGCCGGATTTTGGCGCCTGTTGCCGCCGCCGCCCTAACGAAAAAAAAGGGGAAAGCACAACAGATGGGATCGTCACGATCCCGCACTCGGCCGCCCCCGCCACCCACACTGTATGAGCGTCTGGTGGAATCCCGAAAAGCGAATGAGCAGGGCCTTCTTCTTCAGGCCTTTCGTTTTTTTGTCATGCGTAGATTTTTTGAGCCGCTGTGAAACGACGCATGTCGCTTATGCTTCTAAGGATGACTGCAACGGCATCTACATGCCAAACAATTAATTATTACCACGTTGCCCGCCGGTGGAGGGTGTGGTGTGTACGCGCGCTTGAAGGGAAAAAAAGAAAAAGAAAAAAAAGAAGGAAATCAGACAAAAAAAAAAAAAAAAAAAAGAAAAGAAAAAAAGTAAGGAAAACGTAAATTGTGAGTCTGTCTATCTATCTATTTATCTATCACTCTCTCTCTCTCTCTCTATACATATATATATATATATATATATATATCCGTATGGATAGATACATTTTTTTTTTTGGTGCGGGCCGATTTCTAAACACTGTTTTCCTTTTTTTTTTTTTTTTTTCCTAATTTTCTTCTCTTCTGCATTTTCCGATGCGGTCGTTGTGGACATCGTCGGGGCGTCACTGCCCTTCTCACGCGGGAAGTCCTTCTTTTTTTTTTTTTTTTTTTCCTTGCATCCGGCCTTCCTTCATCTCCTTCTTTTTGTTTCCCCCCCGGCCCCCGCGCTTTTTCTTGGGTGCACGTGTGTGTCTGTTAGGAGGGGAGTTACAAGTCGTTGTTTTGCGGCCCATCGGACACGGCAGTCAGAAGGGCAAAAAGGAAAAAAAAAATAATAAATAATAAAATAAGTCAACGAAGGCAACAATCGCAAAAAAAGACAAACAAACACAAAAGAGAACAACAACCAAAAAGAGAAAGAAAAAACAAAGAACGGAGGTTATATCCAGCGCGTCACCACCGCCATGCCGACGGAAGTTGTAAACGCCACAAACGGTCCCTGTAGGACCGAGCTGATGGGGCAGCTCATCAGCAACTGTGGCTGCTCGACAGGCTCGGCATCAAGACCCTCGTCAGCCGTTAGCGCTGTGAACCGCCTTGTGGCGTTTGTTGACGCCGACAGCTCGGCATCAACGACGTGCAGCTCAGCAGATGCCGGTGCATCTGTTTTTCTTCCGCCGTCGACCCGCATATCCTTCGACTTCATTGGAGTGGTTGGAGTATCGAACGAGATGCTTGAGGAGCTGTACGATGCGTTTGATGTGAATCGACGCGGTGGCGTGGAGCGTTCTCTGATGCGTGAGATGATGAAATCCGGCTTCTCCAATTACGGTGCGCCTTGTGGCGATAAGGACATTGACCGGTTGTTTGAGCGCATTGTGCCGTACAGCGTCCGTCGCCGGAAGGAGGAGGGCAACGAGGATGAGGATTTGATGTCGTTCAATGAGTTCTGTGCTCTTTTCTTGTCGTGGCTGCGGCTGTGAGCCGGCTGTGGGCGTGCGTGGCCCGCAGGAGGAAGGCGGAAAACCGAAAGGAAGAAGAGAATGAAAAAAAACAAAAAAAACAAAAAACAAAACAAAACGAAAAAAAAAAAAATCACGACGGGTGGCTGCGGAGCGCAAAGTAAATGCACGTGCACCCAAACGAAAGAGGAGAGGAATAAGAATATGTAAGCAGGAAATTTGAAAGCGTGTGGGGTGTGTGTGGGTGTGTGTGAGGTGCACGGCGAGCTCACGTACGACTGCAGCGAGCTGAAGCAAAGAAGGGGGAGTTGGAGACGAATGGGCTGAACCCGGGAGGGAGAGAAAAAGAAGAAAAAAAAAAAAAAAGAGAGGGAGAGGCTCTCTGCGATGTAGAGTGATGAAAATAATGAAAATGTATTAAAAGAACGAGGAAAACGTCTTCTTAAAACACAAACAAACAAACAAACAGAAAAAAAAACAAGCAGGCGACTTCTCAGATGTATTGAAGTGACAAGTGATTATTATTATTATTATTATTATTATTATGCTTTTTCCTTACTTTTTTTTTTCTTTATTGACTGTTTTTTTGAAGTGCGGTGATATTTTTGTTCTCTTCTTGTCACGCCAGCTGTTTTGTTGGTCATTAGCATCCGCTTTTGATTCCTTTTTCTTTTTTTCTTTTTTACGCATTTTGTTTCCTGCAAGCAACAGCTGGTGGAAGTCCCAAATTTTTTTTTTTTTAATTATTTTTTCTTGTGTGTCTTGCTTTCCAAATGAAATTTTCTTGGAAAGTACTCTGACGGGAGTGCGCCTGTGCATGCTCTCTCGCCTTTCGTGAGTGAGTCTTCTTTTTTTTTTTTTTTTTTTTTCTTGTATTTTTGTTTCTTTGCGGTTGGCTGGTGAGCGCCCCACTTGTCTGTCCGTCGTGCATCTTTGCCTTTTCCTCCTTGTTGTTGTTTTGTTCTCCTCCTGTCGGGGCCGGAGGGGGCACTTCAAGGACGCCCAATTGGACTCTCAGGGCGGGAGCGATATGATTGTGGGAGCAAACGGGAGTCTCTTTGTGAACAACACCCACCCGGCGTACCCGCACCTTGTGGACTTTCTCACGTCATGCTGCGAGCCCGTGAGCCGCACGCTGCGCATGAGCGAGTACGTCATTTCTCCCTCGTCACTTTCCGCCGCGAGTGCTGAGGGGACGTACTCGACGGCGATGATACGGAACTTCATCCGGTATTTCCGTCTGGACGAGCAGCATCGGTTGCCGGTGGACTTGGCGAAGCTTTCGGCACTCGAGCGGCAGTTGGAGAACGGGGAGGACGTGGCGATGGGGACAACCCACGAGTCAGAGGAGTCACAGGGAAAAAAGCAGCAGAAACAAGAGGAGGATGAAGATGGACTTGGACCGAAAAGGGCGAAAAAGGAGAATGGCGAACGAGTCTCTCTAGTGAAGCAGGAGGCGACGGAGGAGACGGCAGCGCCAAGTCGCCGTTTTTTTTCACTTGTGAAGGGCGTGACAATTCAGCCGGAGCCGCTTATATCTCATGCCTTGTGCTTCCCTGATGCACTCCGTCCGTTGCCACCCGATCTTGAGCAGATGCTCTTGGAGGAGGAGAGATCGTCGCGTGTCCGCATTGTTCTTCAGCCACAACTGCGGTCTTTCCAACGGCAACAGCCCCAACATCATTCTCAAGGACAGATACATCATGAGGATGAGGGGAGGCTTGTGTACTTCCTTGTGAGCCAAGACCGGCAGCAAATGGAGTTTCTTGTTAGCCGCCTTCAAGAGTTTTTGGTGCCAGTCTCCCTTCATGGCGTGATGCGGTGGGTGCTCTCGGACGTGGACCGCGGCGTGGAGGAGAAAAGTGTAGTGGAGAGCGGCAGGGCAAAGACGCTCCGCAGACTTTTTGACACCCCGTCAGTGTCATTTGCGTCGGCGATGGATGACGTTGGGAGTTGTGCCACCGCTGCCGCCAACAGTACGGGAAGGAAGTATTCTCGCGTGGTATACAAAAGCCAAGTAAAAGACGGAAGACTGCGCAATGTGAGGGAACGACTTTTCAAGGAACTTGGGGTGCGTGCGGATCTGTTCTACGACTATGTTCAGGATGGAACACTCGACGTGCGGGACTTGGCGCTCGCTGAACACGTGCGTTTGCGCCCGTACCAAGTAGCATCATTGGAGCGCTTTCGTTGCGGCAATAAGGCCCATCAAGGGGTGATTGTGCTGCCGTGTGGGGCAGGGAAAACGCTCACAGGTATTGGCGCAGCAACGATTCTGAAGAAGCGGACAATTGTCATGTGTATAAATGTTATCTCCGTCCTGCAGTGGCAGCGAGAGTTTTTTCGCTGGACGGATTTGTCCGAGGATCAGGTGACGGTGTGTATTTCCGACAAAAAACAAATGCCTGGGGATGTTTTTATCACGACGTACAGCATGCTTGTTGCGAAGCGCCCCACTGCCCCGGAACAGGAGCAAGGCGAAGATGCGAGGCTGACTAGCCGCATCCTTGCGAGCGTTGAAGAGCAGGCGTGGGGACTGTTACTGCTGGACGAGGTGCACGCCGCTCTCGCCCACCACTTCCAGGAGGTGCTCAACAAAGTCAAGTACAAGTGCGTGGTGGGTCTCAGTGCGACGCTTCTGCGGGAGGACGACAAGATTGGCGATTTGCGGCACCTCGTAGGGCCAAAATTGTACGAGGCCAACTGGCTAGAGCTTACCCGGGCTGGTTTTCTTGCCCGGGTTGAATGCGCTGAGGTGCAGTGTCCGCTTCCCTTGCCTTTCTTCAGGGAGTATCTGGACAGCCAGGCGGAGGAGGACCCATTCGCGCGCCGCGGGACATCATCACTCGCGCGTGCCGTGGTCTGCTTCAATCCGTACAAGCTTTGGTGCACGCAGGCCCTTTTAGAGTTCCACCGCAACCGTTCCCCCCCAGACAAAGTCATTATTTTTTGCGATGACTTGGAGGGGGTGCAGTACTACGCACGACACCTTAACGTTCCTTTTATGGATGGGAAAACCACGGAGGTTGAGCGTGAGAACCTTCTACAGTACTTCCAGCACTCCAACGACATTAATGCAATCATTTTATCCCGCGTTGGTGATGTTGCGTTGGATATTCCATGCGCATCCGTGATCATCCAGGTCTCTGGACTAGGTGCTTCGCGTCGCCAAGAGGCACAGCGACTGGGTCGTATCCTGCGTCCCAAGCCACCTTCACTGGACAACACCTGCTCCTACTTCTACACACTTGTTTCTCAGGATACACATGAGGTGCAGCAGAGCTATGGGCGACAAAGTTGGCTGCGCGATCAAGGCTTTGCGTATCGTGTATTGCAATGTGATTCCCTATTGAAGGAATTGCGGCGTACCGGAGGGAAACCCTGTTGTGTGGGACATCCACAATGGTGGTACGAGACATTAGAGCGGAAATTGCCGTCCGCAGTGGCGGCTAAAGGGAGCATCTGGCTTCCCTTCTCACAGGAGGCCTCACGCCGCATGCATCGTTTCTTTGTGAACGGAAGAGAAGTCTGCGAACTGGATTCTACTGTACTTAATGACACACCACGGACGGCGGAGTTGGCGGTTAGTGGCTTAGGTGAAAAATGGATAGTGCGATTCAGTGCTTCCAATGCCCCAGAGACGTTTGGCACTGTACAGATGGCTGAGGACAACCCAACCCTGGTACGCCGTATCTGCTACGGCCCATTGGACGCGGCGCACGACTGTCTTAAAGGGGAGGAGGAGTGCATTCAATACATTCTGGGACAAATGCGCTATCGTATCAAGAGACGATCAAATCCGCGATGAGAAAGTGAGGGTTGGGTGGGTGGGACATGTCTGTCATGCTTGAGGGGTTATTAAGAGGTTTTTTTTTTTTTTTTGAAGGTCCGCTCTGCGTTTTTAAATTTCCCTTGTTGCATGTATGCGTGGACAGGCAAACACTTCTTTTTTTTTTTTCTGTCATTTCCTGTAGGCCTTTTGCCACCCCGTCCCCTTTCTTCTGCTTTAGTTGCCAATTTGGTAGGCCGCCGCCGTCATCTTTTATGCGCACCATACCCTTTCCTCCTGTTTAAATGCTTCCAACAGTTACACTCAAATGTGACGCGTTTATTTATTTATTTTTTGAATCTTTGTTTGACTTTTTTTTGCAAGCCGAAGGCCTTTATTCCTCTTCCCTTTCTCTTGTTTGTTTTTATTTTCACAGTCACAGCGAGAGCGTCTGTGGGAAAATTTTGCCGATTTTCGTGGAAGCAGCAGCATCGGTGGCAATGGGGAGAAGAGCACGTGATCAAAATTGTGAGATTTCCGCCAGTGTCAGCCGTGTCGAGGGCACGATAGGCATCAGCAGTGAATTTGTGGAAACAGACAGTCGGAATGGGGGGCTTCCAGGGAAGGAGATGGACTTACAGCGTCGCACGCGAAAATTGCGGGATGAGGAAGCAGTAAGTGCCTTCACGACGCCCAAGGAAGGGAAATTAGCGACCGCGGGGGAGTGCAAGCAAAGAAATAAGCAATCTAATAGTAACAGACCGCAGGGGCGGCAGCGTCCAGGGCCGGGGATTCGTAGTATGGGTGATGAAGGCGCCGGCGCTGGTGGCAGCATCGACAATTTTAGTGGTGATGCTACAGCAGGTGATAGAAAAGTAAATAGACCCACCCGCAAAGGCTCAGACGCGGGCACGCAACGTTCCTCCATTTTCCACTCGCTTGCTTTTTTGGGGGCGCGAATGGACTGCAAGCAGAAGGATGTTATTGCCGCCGATGGTGGTGGTGGTGTGGAGGGGGGCGAGAACGGCGGAAATCAACCCAATTCGGTTTCTCCTGGCACAACGCAGCCTGATTGTTTATTTGATGACGCGATTGAAGGGGAGTCGAGTGTACAAGAAGAAAATGGGCTGATGGGCGAGGAGTTCTTGCGAATTATTCAGTCACCGCAGATGCGTGGGTTGGGTGGGGAGCTGCAGGCAGAGGCCGCGCGCCGTGCTCGACGGGAGAAGGTGCAGGCAGCGGAGAATCGTCAGCAGCGATCATTGAGACGGCTCCAGCTCGTGGAGGAGATGTTTGCAAAGGCGCTCGAGCGTCGCATGAAGGCCATGCAGAGAATTGCGGCCGATCCACCGGCCGATCGTCTGATTGGCAACCATGCAATGCAACACATTCCTGTATCGATGCTGCCAGGTGAGTTGAGGCGGACCGCACTGGCGTTCATGGACGGTGTCACGAGGGACGTGAATAGCACCGCCGGCACTGTTCCTTTTGCCGCGGACAAAAACGAGATATCCCGGAAGAAATTCTTCCTCACGGATGTTGACGAGGCTGCGGCGGAGGAGCAGAAAAAGGAGCCCACCGACGCAATTAATGCGGGGGTTGGATTGCAGCAGACAGAGGAGGAGAAGACGAACTTTCCGAACCTCAATGGGATGGAAGAGGAGGAACTTCTCCGAAAGTGGCGTGAGTTGGGTTATACTGCCGTGTACCTGCCGGCGACGGGGAGGTTGGTTTATCCGGGCGAGAGTTCTGTTAGAAATCGAAGCTCCAAGAAACCGTATGTGCCCGACAGATGGATGTCAAGGCAACCATTACCACCAGTTCATCTAGTGCAGAGAAAACTACCGCCCGAATTTATTTTGCTACATGGAGGGACGAAATCCGTTGGAAGACGCCGGCCGCTGCCAGTTGTCTGCCGTTCTGGCAAGAATTAGAGCTCAGGCGTACATGTCACTGGTCTTTATGTGAATATTTCTGCTTGTCTGTATATATATGTTGAATTTGAGCTGTAGTGCTTTGGTGTTGTGCTTTTTTCCTTTTTTTGCATTCTCCTTTTTATATCTATATAAACCTACACCTATATATATATATGTATACATATATTCTCAAACATGTCTATTTATTCATTAATCCGTTTGTGTTTTGAATGGCAAGAACTTTCACTTTTTTTTTTTTCTTCTTGTTGCTTTGCTTCTTTATTTTTATTTTTATTTTTTATTTTTATTTATTTATTTATTTTAGGTGTTTTGGCTCGTACACTTGGAAACAGGCTTGTGTGGGTTGTTTTCTTACGTGCTGCAGTCATGCGGGCGATGATCCCACCGGATCTACGCGCTCTGGCGCGTGTGCTGAACGATGTCGACAGCATGCAGGTTTCCGAGCTCTTTACGCCTGTTGGCCCCAATCTGCCCGTGCATGAACTTGAAATGCTGCTGGAGGAGATCAACGGTGCCCCTCTTTCCGCGAAGGAATTTCGTCAGTTTCAGATGGCCATCATGGAGGAAAGGCATCACTTGCGTGGTGTGGATCTGACGACTGTGGCAGAGTCCCAGGTGGGCTCTGCGCTCTCTCTCACCTCGCGTCTGGATGCCACCTGCACGGAGGCGAAAGTTCCACTGGCACATGTATTTCCTCAAATGAAGGAGGCGCACAACTTTTTTCTTGGCATTACGTCCTTCAAGTGCTCCGTGAAGCAAGCCCCTGTGTTTTACCGCCTTTCCGGCGCATTGTGTTCCCTGCTGCTTTGCGCACTGGAAGAGCTGCAGCGTTACATGGATGAAATGGCGCCCTCGACTTCGAAGGGTGGTGGATCAAAATTACGAGCCGAAGGCCAGAAGTACTTGGAGGGTGGAGGGGAGGAGGACACGATGCCGTGGTTAAATGAGGGGGCGCATCTCCCTGCTGAGTTGGAATGTATCCTTGCGGATATCGATGGCGGTGTCGGTTTTCACTTGGCGCATCTGCGCTGGTACTTGGAGGTGTCTCAGCAAAACACCTACTTTGACTCAGGCGCGTATTTGGGGGATGTTTCCGTACGGAAGATTTGGAATGCATATGTGGGGAAAGAGAAACCGGCGTGTTTTGCAGACACCTTTTCCCCTGCGCTTCAGTTCTTTCCGGAATGGTCCCGTGTGGCCATTATGAAGGTGGTGAACTACAGGGAATGCGGTGTAGTCTCCCTCTATACCCTGAAACGCCTTCTGAGCGTGTGGGGTCCTTTTCTCCTTCTGGATCGCAACATGAGGGACGTCATGCAGGTTGGGCTGTTTGAACTTGAGCATTCGTTGGAGTATCACAAAAAGGCGTTTGCACGTCGAGCGGATGCGCAGGAGGGGGACTGCCTGGCAACGCTCACGGACATCCCAGGCGAGGTTGTGGCACTCGTCCTTCGACGCCAGTCGAAAAAACAGGCACGCGCTGATGGTGAGAATGGCCTGGCGACGCGGACGATACGATTCACCCAAGAAACCGGTGCGTGGGTGGCAAAGGGACTGTCGGGGGCGGAGTACGAAACCGTCTACGACGCGTTTTGTGCCTTCCCAGAGTTGTTCCGTCGGCCGTGTGGGAAATGCTACCAACTCGAGGAGAGTTCAGAGGGAGATGTCCAGTGGGGTGAATTCAGCGGTGCCGTGACAAACACCGCCTCGGGCCTGAACCGCGCCTGTTTTCGAAACAATAGTCGTTATGTGAAGACCCTTTTGGAGCGGGGGTCTGCCTTGGTGGTGAACAGCGCATCGTCGGATCCGGCGATATCAACGCAGTTTGCATGGACACCGTTGTTATGTGCTGTGAACAATCCCAACAGTGACCCCGGGGATGTTGTACGGATGCTGCTGGAGGCTGGCGCGGATGCGGAATTGTGCGACGATGCGCAATGTACGGCGTTGTACTATGCCATCTGCAACGGCTACGTGGATGCCGCCCGCGTGCTGCTGGAGCACTTGCCGCAACTTTGCACATCTCGTTCGTCTGTGCCGTTACTCGTTGCTCTTGGGGCGCATCATTTTCACGCGCGCGAGAGTGACATCCGTCGTCTCTGCGATTACATTCCATCGGTTGACATGCTACGAGTACTTCTGCCGTACCAAACAAGTCTGCCTCTTCTGCGTCTTTGCGTTGAGATCATCAGGGGCAAACTCCGCGGCGAGGAGCGTTTGCGGCAGCCAACCGATGACACTTCCATTTGGTGCCCCGACGGTGAGTTGGAGCTTCGGACGCCAGAAGAAGAAAAGTTCCTCTTGGACATCATTGCGCACAACAGCAGGCTTTGCCAGCAGTTTCGCGAGGACGTCTCGTCTGCCGCACGGCTTTTGTACAACCACTGCTACTTTCTCTCATGCAGGGAGGCCTTCAATCAGAACCCGGTGGACGACCAGGCTTCTTCACAATGTGTGGAAAGCGCACCCGCACAAAAAAGCAGTTGAGGAAAGAAAAAAAACAAAAAGGACGGGTGGGTGAAATGGCGTCGCCTTTTTCATCCGTGTGCGATATGCGGGTTGAGGCAAGCAATGAAGATGAGAACAAAGAAGTTGTCGGTTCTCGGAGACGCATGTAAATTTTTGTTTTTTTTTTGGCCCTCTCATTTGTTATTGCGACGGGAGCCAAATAAGTCGTATGTGAAGAGGCGGATTTTCAAGCGTGTTCGTGTTCGTGTGCGTGCAGGACTCATTGCTGTTTTTAGCCGTAGTGCACTGCAATTCTGCACCCATTCTTTCCTTTTTGGTTGTTTTTACTTAATGTTATTCCGTCGTTCATTTATTTATTTTTCCTGCTTTTCTTTTTTTTTTTTTTTTTTTTTTTCTTTTTTAATTACGTGATGTCGGTTTTTTCTTTTCGCACTGGAGCAGGTGCCAAAAGAGGGATGCCGCACCACACGAAGCGGGCCATGGCGCATAGGATGGCCAATAAGGAGCGCATAGCGTGTCAACACGGGCAGCGTTTGGCCGCAGCGCAGCGTAGTAAAAATAAGCAGAAGTCGCATGCGCAAAATGGGCAGTCTCTAGGCCGTGTGCCGTACGTCAGCATCTACGACGAGGCGGATCCGTTGGACCGGCAGCTGTTTGACTACATCATTGTTGTGGATGTCGAGGCGACCTGTGAGAGCAACAATGACAACTATCATCACGAAATCATCGAGTTCCCTGGGGTCCTAATTGACGTGCGCCGCGGCATCGTGGACACACGACGCTCTTTTCGCTCGTACGTGAAGCCGTGGCGCAATCCTGTGCTCTCAGAATTCTGCAAAAAATTGACCGGCATCTCGCAGGAGGACGTTGATAACGCGCCCGGCCTTCCGGAGGTGGTGAAGGCCTTTGAGCGATGGTACCGTGAGACGATCCCTATTGGGGCCAAAGTTGCATTTGCCGCGGACGGCCCATGGGACTTCAAGAACTTCATTTACGAGCACTCCATCCTGCGTGATCACGTCAGTTTTCCCGGCATCTTCTACGAATACCTCGACATTCGCACGACGTTCGCCCACCACTTCAATCGTGGCGCGCCGATCAAGTTGGACGCCATGCTGCGGCGGATGCGGCTGCGGTTTGAGGGCCGCCCCCACTGCGGCTTTGACGATGCAGTAAACATTGCACGACTGGCTGTGGCAATGATGAGGGCCGGCTGCATCTTCGACTTTCTCATCGTCATTCCCATGGACGACGACTACCACTACCACCTAGACACATATCCGCTCTACCGCCGCGAGGAGGGCAGCGGCAGACTGGACCCCGACGTCGTTGACGACATTGCCAAGAGCTGCTACGGCTTAGAGTATTTTCGATTTGGTGAGCGGCATAAAGCGGAAGTGCTTCGGTACCGCAAGGAGCATCCCTATGAATTCCGTGGTGTGGCCTTGAAGCAAATTGGAGAACGGTTAAATCGAGGTAGGCTTGCAATTCGTTGTCGCTTGGTGGCTCTGTGCATCCTCCTGATTGTCGCCGCCGTGATGCTGCTTATTCTGGTGTCCACGAGGATACTGCGTTGGCGGGGACGGCTGCAGTAAATCGGTGCATCAAAAAAAAAAAAAAAACAAGAGTGCATGTGTTTCTCGCCATTTGGGTGCCGGGGTGTGGCGCGGGATGCTCCGCAATGCATCGTTGGCTGAGCTTGTTTGGGCTTTTACGTGTAACATTCATGAGACACACGAAAATAAACGCATGCACAAATTCCCCCCCCCCCCCACTTTGTTGTCTCCTGCCGCTCGGGCGGGGGATGTGTTGAGGGTACGTTGCAAGAGACGATTTTAAAAGAAAAAAAAAGATAGATAAAATCATTACTAAAGACCGATGTGTGTCTGTGTGTGCGGGCATGCATGCACTCTTCCATGTATGCCCATTTACTGGATTGTCTCCTGTTTATTGCAGGATGTGCCTGCTAAGTTTTTTGGATGACTTCACTTCTCTGCCCCTTTTTTGTTTCTCGCCCTCCCACTCGCACCGCCGCTCCTGGCAGGAATAGGAGGCTAGCAGGAAGCGGCATCAAAAAAGGGAGTGAGGGGCTCCGGTCGACGGCGGCGACAGGAAGAAGAATACAAAGCACAAGTGTGCGTCATACACACTCACACAGAAGCAGACACAAATTGATCAATAATTACACACAAGGAGAGAGAAGGGGACTGCGGCGGAGTGACTGTGTGAGCGAAGGAGGCGCAGCGATACATTCGCTCAGTCAGAGGATTTAAATAGCCACACCGTACACACATAAAAAAAGGTTGGGAAAAGCGGCTCACGCCCCACACGGACACACTCAGCGGCGTGCAAATTCATTCATTCATACTTGTGTACCCTTACATTGGGTGGGCGTGTAGGGTGTCATACGCAGTGGAACCACAATACGACGCCTCGCTCTTTTTAATTGATTGTTTGGCCTGCTGCTGTGACTGTTGTTGTGGGTGGCGGTGGTGGTCTTCTCTTTGCTCGGGTAAACACTCGCGCTCGAAGCCACCTTTCTCCTCTCCACTGGCGAGTAACGCGTGGGCGAAGAGGCGTGGCTCACGGACTCCCCACCGACGTAATTTGCACGCGAAATTGTGACGCCCACACGCACGCTCGTAGAAGCGCGGCGGCGCAGAAGTAAGCGAGAGCAAAATTGCGTGTCTTTTGGGGTGGCGAGGAAACAACAACCATAACGGAAAAGAAAGGACGATTTGAGCAAAGAAGACAAAACAAGCAAGAAACGGAGATTAAAAACAAAACAAAACGAAGAAGAGAAACGTGAGACAAAACAACAACAAAAATTGGGAGGCGTCAGCGCTTGACACGTGTGGAAATCATAGAAGAGGCAAAGACAGGGGGCGGAGCAGTTTGGACAATGAGCGCTGAGAACGTAGACCACCAAACGCCATCGCCGCGGGGTGAGATGGCGGACACGCTCAATACAAGCAACTCTGAGCAGACAGCGCTGCTGGATGGCGACCACTCAGACGGATTGTCGAAGCCCCACCTGTCGCCACTGTGCCATACGGAGGCCGGGGGCTCGTGGTGGAAGTCACCAGGCAAGGCAGAAGGACGGACACCCGCTCGCATAATGCGTCATGGCAGCCGGCGCCACGGCTTGAGGGATAATGCGAATTCCAAATTAGAAAAGTTCCGCATGGCACGATCCCTGGCCATCCAGTGGCTCTCTTTGTTGATGCAAAACCCACCAGACGCCGCCACAATTCAGGCGTACCGAAATATGAAGCTGCAGCATCGGCAACAGCAGGAAAAGCAAGGTAGAGAACACGCAGAACCAAGCAGCACTGAGGGAGGTTTAGCAAAGGGAACTTCATTCGCGGAGGTTGTGAGAAGAGGTTTTCCATTCTCTTCTTCTTGTGGTTCGTCAGCTGCTTCCGACGCTGTTGTTCTTGTTGACGCTACTTCAGATATTGGCACCCAACATGATGGGAATGTTGGCTCGAGTAGAATTCAGCCCTCTGCGGAGACATTTGAGCTTGTCCCAGAAGATGAAAAGTCTGTTTCAGAGCTTATCCGAGTGCTACGAGAGATTGCTTTAACGGGTGCCTCGCTGGGAAACATCTCACTCGAGAAGGAGGGAACTGCAACGAATGGTGTGAGTTCTTCATCCACCGCCATGGGGTGCAGCGGGGCGGGCACTGGTGTGGACAGGGTGGAAGGCGGCAGTAGCCGTGTCAGTAACGGTAGTGGTAGTAGTGGCAGCAACGGCACCAAGAGTTGTAACCGTGTCACGCATCGGCGCAATGCGGAGGGCCAATGGGAGGATATTAAGCTGTATTTCAGTACTGTGCACCGGTTGGTGCAGAATCGCGAGGAATTGACGTTTGTATTGGACACTGTTTTGGGCACTGGCTGGTGCGTGGATGTCGAGAGGTCACCAAAGGACTTGGAGTCATCCTGCAGTGCCGGCGTGACGTTGCCGCTGTCGCAGGCGGCGATATCGGGCATCGAGTCACCGCGAGCGCCGTCATTTTCGGACAGGGCAACAGAACACAAACCGAAGCAGCAGGGGGAGGCGGACGAGGAACACCAGCAAATGGTGGTTATAGACAACGTGAAGGTTCACAGCACACTCAATCACAAGGCGGTTCCTTTTGAGTCACGTCTTCATTCAATTTTGGCGAGTCCTCCACTGAGTGCGACCCCGTACTACTTTTCTGGTAGATCCGCATCAACGCCGGCGGCCGATCCTCACACAAACTCCCCCGTTTCCTTTTCAACACCGCCTTTGCATCAGTGCGGCGGCGTTGCCATGGAATTGGCAAGTTCAGCCATGCCGTCGGCATCTACGACAGTATCAAATGGCACGACACCTCCAGCTGGGCCCTCTCTGCTTTCTTCCAACACGGCATTCAAACTGGAATCCCGGGAAGATATGATTCGACGTCGTACGGCAGCCGCAGCCGCGCCGCGGCAAACTATGCGCATACCACTTCTGGAAATACTATGCAACCGCTCACGTGTC